TAAGCATTCTGTGTCCTTAGAATGGTGCACTATGTTCTGTAGACACCAGAGATATCTATACATCAGTCTGGTTTGGCAGATTATGCATTCCTGAGACTAAGATGTCAAATTGTAGGATAAATCAACATAAACCATGACACTATGGAGCTACCACAGTACTTAATTATAATAATTATCTGATGATGAATCAAACTAAGCATTCAACAGTGCTTAAAAGACTGTGCAAGAAGCTCTCTGTTGCCACCCAATGGTCAGTATAAAAAGAAAACAGCAGTAGCTTTCTTGGAAGATACACTTCCACCAATTATAAGTCCCATATTCCAACTTGTACTGTGAACTGTGTGCTGATAGTTACAAAAAAAAATCCCTGCATTCCTAAGAGGCAACAAACAGTGGAGCTTCCTTTTTCCTAAACATTTAGCTCACCAATTTTTAATACACAGATTTCTCAAATGTACATTGTGTGTCTGTGTGTAAGCTTATTGTACAAAAGTGTTAAATGTTATGCAACATGTGCACTGTTTAATTATGGTTGTTGGGTTGTTGTTTTTAAGAAACTGAACCCAAAATTTCTGTGGCTGTAAATCATGATGGGGCATGAATGATGGTACAATGCTTTATATCTAATAGCTAGTTTAACAGGAAGCTGGACACATAGAACATGAGTGTAACTAAGCACATTGTGAATTATTGTAGTTCAGTTCTCACCTTGAAGGGCTTTATTGCAATTGTAATTGTTTACATATACTTTCTCATACTGTAAAATGCAGAAATGAATAGTACTTGTTACAGGGAAAAGCACTGTTGTATGTAGGCTGCAGATTGGTGTAAATTGATAATAGAATCATCAAGATGATCTTTTATTTTGCTCCTTTTATCTCTGTCTAAAATATGTTGAAAACCTGTTTTTAATACACAAATTTCTCATATGTACATTGTGTGTGTGTGTAAGCAGCCTCCTTAACCTGGTAGCTTTCACGTGTATTATGACTACAACTCCTAGAATTCCCTGTCATTATAGCTGTGCTGGCTGGGGTTTTGGGAAGAAAGTTGGGGGAGCTGCACCAGAAACATACCCTGCATTTGTTGAAACCAGCAGAATAGAGAAATCTGTGATCTTGGAATTTGATTCAATAGCTTTGTCTCTGAAGTTCCATACTAGTCTTCACCTAGTTATCTCTCTCTCTCTCTCTCTCTCTCTCTCTCTCACACACACACACACACACACACACACACACAATGTATTGGGACTACAACTGCTAGAATTCCTAGCCAGGATGGGGAATTCTGGAAGTTGCAGTCCCAACCCCTCAGAAGATTGCCAGGTTGGAGAAGGCTGATGTCTCCTGATCTGATACCTATGAAGCTGCTCAGCAGTGGTTAGCATAATTGCCTGTCCATTACCCAAGAGTTGGATAATCAGGAAAACTGTGACACAGATTGGCTTAATTGCTTTGACCCTGGATAGATAAGGGGCATAGCTAGAAAAAGACATCAAGGGGAACAAAATAAGCAGGGGCAAATAAAAATGTTGGAGAAAAATAACCTAGGTTAAGGAGGAGAGAAGAATAAAGCAACAGGCAATCTAGGATGGAAAGGAAAGTTGAAAATTATCAAGACTTCCATGGTGGAAAGGTTGAATTGAGGACTGCTTGAAGAATTTAATCTTTGGGACTTCTGTTACAGAAGGATCGGATCTGCACTTCCTGATTTAATGTGCACATTATCATTTATCTACTGAATTTGCACCCTTCAGATATCCTAACAGAATTCTTTGCTCAAAACTTTCAAAGTATTTTTTGTAGTATATGATTTGAAAAAGAATGTTTTTAAACAAATTATATAAATTTATAAAGATTATATGTGTATATATATGTATCATTGCAGATTAATGGGAAAGTGCAATGGAAGAAATTTATAGGTGAGCACATGTGAAAGTAACTCAGATTAGAACCTTCTCTGAACCTTCACATATTGATCTGGGATCATCAACCAAGTCTTTAGCAGCAGGTGATTGATCTTTAGTAAGGATCATTATAGACAAAACTGTTAGAGCATCTCTTTTTCATGTAGTGCCATTCACAGTTGCTCTAACTTCTCATATTCTGATCTTGGCTTGATCTATTTTAAGCAGTTAAGAACTCCATCTCCTAACAAAGAACTTTAGACAAAAAGAAATTGTTTAGCTTAGTCTGTCTCTTGTCCTACACCCATATTTTTTGTGGAGTTACAATTGCATACAGCAGACTAAGCACAAAGCCAAGTCAGGACCCTTTGATTTGGTTTTCTCAAAGGACAGTCATTGTCTCATCATTTTAAGTGGTGCAGAAGTGCTAACAAATGGAAACACAAAGTAGTGTCTCAGCTGTCACTGCAATTTTGAGTTCTGTAAGCCAGACTTCTAGAGACAGTCCAGTGTTTGATATCTGTCCAAATAGGTTCTGTTTTCACTTAATGTGATTTGCAAGGATAGTTCCCAGATTCCTGGATTTATAGAACTGAATTCTTTTCTAAATGTCTCATGGTAAAGTGCAGGTCAGTAGTGGCTGCATGCCACACAATCTTGGGAAAAGACAGATTTGGTTTAAAGATTTGCTAATAGGTGTTACATTCATGCCCTGGGTCCCCAAGGCACATTTATGCCTTTGAATCCAAAGCTCTCCACAGCCTTAATAGACACTACAGATTGTGGTGGTTTGCACAGGGCTTCACACTGTTTCCATTGTATCCTGGTCTCAGAAATTGAAAATGGGTGGGTTCGTGTAATACATTTATCCATTTACTGCTATAAAATCCTTACTGTAAATATTTTAAGTAAATTAATTAAGAATGCTTCATTTAGGTAACTCAGTTTTTTGACTTTACAGAACACACTAGTCTAAGATGTGCATGGCTAGGTTTTTGTTTCAGTATGTGGTGTGAACACAGCCAAAGACTGCAGAATTTTCCACATATTGGTGTATTCTGACAGAAAGCTTTAACATTTAGGTTTAGTAGTTGAGGAGATGAGATTCACCTGCATTCTATCCCAAACTAGAAAAAAGTGAACTTACATAAACCAAATGATGAATGAATTGTAGGATCAGAGGTATAGGCCATTTAATCTAGTCTGGCATGGGACAGGAAATTTAGACCATCCCCACATGCTTGTACAGCTTTTCCTTGAAGAACTTTCCTTTGGCTAATTAGATAAATTGTCAAACTACTCTTCAGCCAGCCATAGTATTTCTGTGTAAGTGACTTCTTTGGAGGATGCATGAGAATACAGGTAGTCCATGGATTAAGGTTGCCCAGTTTACGGACGACCTACATTTAAGAACAGAGCCTATTGTAGCAAAAATTGTGTTAAATACACAATGATTCAAGTTAAATACACAATGGTTCGAGTTAAATACACAATGGTTCGAGTTAATTACACAATACTTCTTACAGAGTATTATACAATAATACTGTTCTGGCTTACATACAGATTCGACTTAAGGACAGACCTTGGGAACGGAACTCGTTCTTAAACTGAAGACTACCTGTAACTCAAAGCTTTCCATTTAAGAAAATATTTTTGACAGAGGGTATTTGTTGTTTTTTGTTTGGTACCTAATTATAAAGCTGCTATATGCAGTTTTTAACAATAAAATTTCTAAAATTCCCCCCCTCCAAACTCATTGCAGCAAAACATGCTAGGACTCTAGATATTAAAGCTAAAAATTAACTTGTCCATTCATATGAGAAACTTGGAATAATAAATCTGTATATATAACAAGCATGTAGTACAAAATTGGGTAAGGACAGTATCCTGCACTCCTCTGGTGAGCCTTACACAAATTGTTGATTTGCGATATTTATTGGGTATGGTCAAGATTTGTTGATCTAGGTAATTCAGTAACACTGAATAAATAAATTAAGTATAAATACTTCTTTGGGGTCTGACCAGGAAGACCCTTTGTAATTTGATATGATGAACTATATTAGCAAAGAATAATTTTATATACTGATATTTGCACCTTGTAATGTTTCCTCCCTTCCTCAAAACCATCAGTATATCTGCAAGTAGAGTTTTAAAATAAAGCAGGCATGCTGATCCTTATTTATCTATTTATTACAAGTATATCTGTTTTGCTTATGTAAGCACTCAAGGCAGCTTACATCAGTAAAACAAAATGCAAAAGGTAAAGAAGGACAGTAAAATCAAGAAAATTAGGATTAAAGTCAAGATCATTAAAATTAATTAATTCAAAGCTAGGCAAAAGGGATGCATTTCTGCCATTTTCCTAAATGCTGGGCAAGTCACAGCCAAACACGCCTCCCTGGGGAAAGCATTCCAGAGTCTGGGAACCACTGAGGAAAAGACTCTTTCCTGTGGGCCACATAGCTGAGCTTCTGGCAACAGGGCTACCTGAAAACTGTAGGTGTCCTTGGCCATCCTTGATGATGCCAAAATTATAAAATGTGCATTGTGATCCCACAAAGCAAGCTGCACCTTTTTGTAATTGTATCATGATGCATTCTCATGTAGGTGCCTAAGGGGCATAGTTTGCATCCCAACATTGCAGCCCATGTCTTGTCACTGCCCTAATTTTTCCCTACCCCCACCCCCATGGACATCTATGCTTAAAGGGGCCTCTATTGCTGATATAAGCCACTAGGCAGCTTCATGGAGGGAGAGGTAATCCTGAGGCCCTAAGCCTTATTCTGACAAGGAGAACACTGAATTTAAAATGGGATTGTGTTCCATTCACCCAGTATGATTTTAGTGTTATGTGATCTATTAGTGTTGTTGAGATCTCATAGTATTTAAAGTATTTATATTATACTATGTGAGCTTTAGAAAAGAAGTGCCTTGCTGTATCATACAGTAACATAACAATCAGCAGGCATATATTTTCCAACAATCCTTGCAATAAACAGCAACTAGATGATTCACCAGAAATCGGTGCTCTATGATTAATATTAGATTAAGGAATGTATTTGACCATTCTTCATACTAATTTTTCCCATCTCAGATACAAGGCAACTTCAGCCATCTCCTCCATGGCCTTATGATCCATCTTACCAATATCTGGGATCAATTGCAACTTCTTCTGTTCATCCAGCCACACCCATTTCACCTGGACGGGCTAGTGGAATGACATCCCTCTCTGCAGAACTTTCAAGCCGGCTGACAAGTAAGTTGTCTTGGAGAGTTTTGTCCCTTGAACTCCTCCAAGTAAAATGCTGCAGCTTTTCCCAGGAATTATGGTGTCTAACTGTAATACAATTCAAGAAGAATTTTGGTTCTACCCAGCTGTGTTCTTTCTCCCCTCCATAACAATTCTTATACAGTTTCCAGAACAAAAAGTATTTTGTTGTTTTGACTGGGATAAATATATAATAAACAAATAAAAAGAGTGGAAAAGAAACTCTGGCCCAAGACATTTTTATAACCAGAGGTGTGATATTAGCAGAATAATATTTGGAATCTTTAGACCCATTTTTATAACATTAAGTTAGAGATCCAGGATGTTGTACTGTTTAAGGTGTTGGCCTGGCACTGGGGGAGGGTGGGCAGGTTTTAGTCAACCTTCAAGCACAGAAGCTGATTGGGTAACTTTGGGCCAATCACTTTCTCTCAGCCCAACTTACCTCCCAAAGGATTATTGTGGGAAAAGAGTATGTATGCTGCCTTGAATTCCTGAAAGGTGGGTATACAGTGGTGCTTAAAAGTTTGTGAACCCTTTTGGATTTTCAAAATTCCTGCAAAAATATGACCTAAAACATGATCTGTTTTCCACACAAGTCCTGAAATTAGATAAAGAGCACCAAATTAAACAAATAAGTCAAAAACATTATTCTTGTTCATTTATTCATTGAGGAAAATGATAGAAAGCTATATTTGTGTGTGTCAAAACTAGGTGAACCTATAGAATGCTCAGTTCATTTGATGGGGAAATTAAAATCAGGGGTTTCAAAGAATGGGATGATAATCAGGTGTGAGGGTGGGAGTTCCTGCCTTATTTAAAGAACAGAATTCTGGGTATTCACTATCAAAGTCTGATCTTCACAACACAGGTATGTGGAAGTGTGTAATGCTTCGAACAAATACAATTTCTGAGGACCTCTGAAAAACAGTTGTTGATGCTTACCAGGTTGGAAAAGGTTACAAAACTATTTCCAAAGAGTTCCACCAGTCTACTGTCATGCAGGTTGTATACAAATGGAGGCAATTCAATGCTATTGTTACCCCCACCCCCAACCAAGACCAACCAAAAGCAAGCCATGTAATACATTTTACCCAATGTAAATGGGTAAAAGAACCCCAGGAACTAAAAATCTCTCTTGCACTGGCAAATGTCAGTGTTCGTGAGACCACCATCATGAGAACACTGAACAATGGTGTGCATGACAGGGCTGCAAGAAGAAAGCCACTACTCTCCAAAAAGAGCATTGCTGCCCATCTACAGTTTGTGAAAGACCATGTGGATAAGCCAGAAGGCTATTGAAGAATATTCTGTGAATGGATGAGATCAAAATAGAACTTTTTGGCTTGAATGAAAAGTGTTACATTTGGTGAAAGGCAAACCCTGCATTCCAACATGAGAACCTTATCCCATCTGTGAAACATGATGGTGGCAGTATCATGGTTTGGGCCTGCTTTGCTGCCTCTTGTCCAGGACAGCTTGCCATCACTGATGAGACTCTGAATTCTGAATTGTACCAGCAAATTCTATAGGAAAATGTCAGAGTATCTGTCCATGAACTGAAGCTCAAGAGAAAGTGGGTCACACAGCAAGACAACGACCCAAAACACACAAGTCATACAACCAAACAATGGTTGAAGCAGAAGGAAGTTAATGTTTTGGAATGGCCAAGTTAATTCTATAGGATCTTAATCCTATAGAAATGTTGTGGAAGGACCTGTAGCATGTAGCTCATGTGAGGAAGGCCACCAACATCCCTGAGCTGAAGCTGTTTTGTAAGGAGGAATCGGCTAAAATTCCTCCAAGCCGATGGGTAGGACTGATCAACAGTTACTGGAAATGTTTAGCTGCAATTATTGCTGTCCAAGGGGAGCGCACCAATTACTGAAAGCAAAAGTTCACATACTTTTACCACACACAAATATGTAGCTTTGGATCATTTTACTCAATAAATAAATGAACCACTATAATGTTTTTGACTCATTTGTTTAATTGGGTTCTCTTCATCTAGTTTTAAGGTATGTGGAGAACAGATCACATTTTAGGTCATATTTATGCAGAAATACTGAAAATTCAAAAGGATTCACAAACTTTTAAGCACCACTGTAAATCTACAAGTAAATAAAGTATGCAAGCTTTGACTGGGTCTTTTAATTAAACGACTGAACAATATGGATTCAAGAATGTTCTGTGTGTATGTCTGTCTATTGAAAATAAAATTAGTCTTCTCTTCGCCTAAACTGTCTGGATGCTATACACCGAGGATAGTAGAACATGGACATAAATTAAAATTGTATTTAAAATATTGAGGGTGTATAAAAATGGTGTGTATGTGTCTTTCTCTGGGTGTGCATGGTTAAAAATAGTGTGTATATGTGTGTATGGCCACAAAATAAAAGACACCATAAAACTCCAGCCAAGCAGGTTTTTATGATTCATAGGAAGCACTGCAAGACTGCTAGGTTGGAGCACTTTTACTGACTTCAGCTTGAGTAAATCACACCTGGATAGGGGTTGCTAACTTTATTGTTGTTGCGTGATATAAGAATAATATAAGCTTGCGGGTGACATTTTTTTTTCATCATTTCATCAGCATGATGGGAAAATTCCCCTTTCCCTTCTACAAGACAACCTACAGCCACAGTTGCAACTGTTGAGAAGTGCATCTGGGTGCAAAACTACAGCATTCTGCCATCACTGCTCCATAACTGAGACGTGTTTTCTGTTTTTACCAGTTGTGTGGCAATCAGATGTTCAGCAGATGACATTTCTATTACTGTACTATACTTCCCTCTGGATAACAGCCTCACCAGTTGAATTTCTGCCTATCACAGCTGCTACAATGAGCACAAGAAACCTTCCTGGGGGAAAAGTGGCAGTCCTCTTTGCAACTGACATTTAGACTTGAAATCTGATCGGCAAGGGAGGCATTTCCAGGTGTTCAGTAGCATTGTTAAGAAGAAAGGCAGATGGTGATTATATGTGGCACATCCAAAATTACGACTCTAGGCTGTCACAGAAACCTTCTGAGAAACTTGTTGAAGGATATCAAAGAGGCCTGGTTACCTGGCTGACGAGCTTTCAGAATCTGACACGACACTATTTCTGCAGCGCCCTTTTAATCCAGTCCCAGGGCAGACAGTTTTTGTTTTCTTTCTCCCACCTTGCTGACTCTTTCCCTTCTGTATGTATACATTCCGTTTAGGCAGACTCCACACGGTGTCTGAGGAGGGCTTGCCATGAGGAAAGGTTGCTTTATTGTTATTTTAATGCCTTGCAATAGCTGGCAAGGAAGGGGAGCCAAAGTCTCTGTTAACTGGAGCCTGTCTCCTGGCTTTCTTTTAAGAGGCCATTATCTTTCATCTGTTGGAGGGGGGAGGCATTGGAGAGGAAGTGAGAGTTATTCAATCAGCAGAGGAAAAGGAGCTGAAGTTCAGCCATTATTTCAAATGGGAGTGAGCTATTCAAAAAGCTTTCAGTTCCCAAATTTTCAAACTTCATGAATTTCTGTTGACCAAGCAGCCAATACTCTATCTAGTCCAGATGAAAGGAGTAAGGAAGAGAGGAATGAAGTTCACAAATACTTTCATCTGTTTTTTATTTTATTTATTTATTTTTGTGCCTTCAAGTCAGTTTTTGACTCCTGGCAACTGCCTGGACTAGTCCCTTCAGTTTTCTTGGCAAGATTTTTTGGAAGTGATTTGCCCTTACATCCTTCCTAGGGCTGAGAGAGAGTGACTGGCTGGCTTCATGCCTAAGTCAGGACTAGAACTCATGGTCTCCTGGTTTCTAGCCTGATGCCTTAACCATTACACCAAAGTACCAAGGAATCTCAATCTCTCTCGCTCTCTCTCGCTCTCTCTCTCTCTCACACACACACACACACACACGGCAGTCTTTAAGGGATCCTTGCAAAATGAACAGAAGTGCTTGCCTATTTGGGAAGAGCTGCTCTGACTGGGCTTCTCTTCTTCTAAGTTTGATGGTGGGTTAGGTCACTTCATGTGAAAGGTGCAGAAAGGGTCTTGCTTGATTTGTTTTTAGTGAGACTAGCACTCAGTCAAACCTGATTCACACCCCGCCCCCCCCACTAATGAAATATTACCACATTTTCCATTAAGTGTCTGATTTGAGGCATTTACATAATGCATCAGGATGGAAACTATACTAAAGGAAAAGGAAATCAAGGAGCAGTAGTTCCAAGCAGCTACTAAAATGATTAAGTTTTTGGTGGAGTGAAATATTTCAAGCTATAACCCCCAATAACAATATTCTTGCTTGGAATGCCAAAGGAAATGAATAGTCAGCACTTTCCTAAATAATTGCCCAAACATAGTAATCATCTGTTCAGGGTAAAATTGTTCTTTGTTTTGACAAAGCAAACATGACCTGCAAATGTTAACATTGAAATATTTTGCTTGCTTGCTAAATATATGACTGTCCCAGTGCTCCATGGCTTGCCCCTATCACTCCATAATCTATTTATCATTCTCTACTTTCACTTAAAGCTCAACATCCAGCTCTGAGTTCTGGGTTTATGTTTATCACATCTCAGATGACAAATAGAGCCAAGAAGGACCTCCAGGGGTTATCCTACCTGAACAGGTTTATGCAAAAAGAAAAGAAAAAAAAGATTCCTGAGGTGAATCACATGTGATCCTTGGTCTTTTCTTCTGCTGCCAAGGGAATATATTTGATCTGATATCCAGCAAACTTTGATTAGCTGGACTCGACTGATAATTGCAGCAAAGAAATGGCTATTTGAAACAGGACTGGTGAATAGTGGGACAAAGCTAAAGCAACTCCCACTTTCTAGAGGCAAGGTCAGTTTTCTCCCTAATAGGATCTCAAGCAGGATTACTGAGCAACTAGGGCTAAAGTTTATGACTTTGAATGTTAAGTGAAGGACTTTAACATTGGCCTTAGAAATAGAACATCTCCATAGTACAACTATTCCAAGATTGGTAAAAATGTGCTTCATAATCATGTCTCCAATAATAACTAGACATAATCTATATACTTAAAAATACACTGTGGAGAGAAATACTGTACCCTAGAGATCATGGCTTTCTAATTCATTTTTACTTAAGGCATACATTTCAAAAGCATTCAAGCACCAGAGCATTACAAATGCTTCATTGTTAATAGAAAATATTTTGTTTTACCACTTTATGTTTGTCAAATCTTCTTTTCAGTTATCCAGCATAATAACTGTGAATATGAGACCTCAAATAAATTACTTTAGACAGGTGCAAAAGTGCACCTGCCATTTTGTGCATGCATAAAATTCACAAAAACCACTCCAAATGGCGTCCTTTCAACAGAACCACATGGCAAAGACTGCAGATACCCAAAACATTTTACTGCTGATAATGAGGTCTGGTCTATATCAGCTGCAGATATGCAAAACTGCAAGTAATAAGGCTGCAGGTGATGAGGGCCACCTGTGTACCAGAATGATTTCTCTTCAATGCAATAAAATCATGTATTTTACTTACAGTATGTTTATTTCCTTTCTCCCAAACCAGGTGCTTCTGACCTAACAGCATTCAGTGATCCAAGAGTAGGAATTGATCGTCCATTTTCTGCCATTCCTTCCATTTCTGATCCTCGTATGCACTATCCTGGAGCATTCACCTATACTCCAACCCCAGTCAGCTCAGGAATAGGAATTGGCATGTCAGCCATGACCACTGCCACCAGATATCACACTTACCTACCACCTCCATATCCAGGTTCTTCTCAGGCTCAAGGTGGCCCATTTCAGACCAGCTCTCCTTCATATCATCTCTACTATGGAACATCAGCAGGATCTTACCAGTTCTCCATGATGTCTGGTGGTGATCGGTCTCCCCCACGTATTCTGCCTCCTTGCACTAATGCTTCCACAGGATCTACTCTACTCAATCCCAACCTTCCAAACCAAAATGATGTTGTGGACACTGAAGGCAGTCATAGCAACTCCCCCACCAATATGGGAACCACAGCAAGGTTAGAAGAAGCAGTGTGGCGACCATATTGAATTATTATTACAGGTGTTTAATCTGGTAATGTCCATCATTTTATATGACAAATGAGAGCACTGCCATGTTTATCTTTCACACAGAAAAGCAATCAGTCCTGAAGTCAGTATTTCTGGAAATATTGCTATGATGTTCTATGACTGATTTTGCTCAGTGAAGTGATGATATTCCCATAAATAGACTCTTTCCAAGACTGAACTTTGGAAAATAATAACATTTTAAGATGGTGGTTCTGTTCACTCATGTTATCTATAAATATGAAGAAGGATAGATATCCAATATGTGTCCAGAGCTTCAGACTTCAAAATTTAAAGTATTTTGTTTGACATCTGGTGCTAAGGCATTCAGTCTTACACAATCTTAATGAGTTTAATCCATCATTTTGACATGTAAGTTAAAAGGAAGTATACAAAGATTCTCAAAGAGAAACTGTGAATGCTTCTAATTTAGCAATGCTGTGAATAAGAGTTTTTATATCCTGGAAATAATTTTTTAATCAAGTTGTATATTCCAAAGAGTACAAGAATTGTTTTTATTTTTATTATTTTTTGAGCTGTAACTCATCCTTCTTTGCATATCATTTCCTTTTTTGGCACCTTAAAATTTGCAAAAAGATTTAATCTTTTTTTTTTAATGTGCTCATTTTTCTTGTACTTTGTCAGCTAAATGCATCTACAAAAGCCTCTTTTCTAAAGAAATAATTTAATTTTTTTTAATATAAAGGAGTGACAACCTATAGTCCTTCTCAACTACTGAAAAAGTACATGATGAGTTGCTCAATATTTATGCTCTGCATTGAATTTTTGTGTGTGATGCCTTTATTATTTAAATAATGCTTTGAAGATAAGCACATGCATTTTGTAGCAACCAAAGTTTAAAATTATTACATATAAAATGGCTGGAATAATTATGGATAATGTGACTTTTAATTATTTAGAAATATTGTTTACATTTAGCTCCATTTCATTCTCATCAGTCATTTAAATGAAGTCACTTTTATCCAGTTGAGAACCCAGATTTCTTTGAAAATGTTATTATGATGGAAATAATGTCTTAAAGTAAAATGTTTATGTTGTATTTGCCGTAATTGGACGCTGACTGGGGCACTGGAAGCAAAGATTTGTCTGAGAGTATATACTTGGGAATTTCCAGTACAGCGTGATGTTTATATTCCATCAACTTCCTTAAAGACAATATAAGTAAAAAATTCAAACAAACACAGCTAAATAGCATTCTAAATAACTAGTAAGTTCCACATTCTGGTCAAATATGACACATCCCAGTTTTTCTGCCTTGCCCTAGTAGGAGATTTAAAAGCTTGTTTAAGGCTGTAACTCTAACCACAGTTATGCAGACCCAAGTCCACTGAACAAGCCCCCCCCCCCATATGACACACAATCCAAAGGTCTTTTAGAGCAACCTTACACAGCTGCAGGTGTAAACAAAGTAATAACTGAGGGGTGGGATTATTCATTCTAGGCATCTATTCATTCTCTCATCCTCAGCTACTTTGCACCCTTATAGGAGAGAGTTGTGGGCAACATGAGGCCACTGAACCTGTTTTTGGCCCACTGGGTCCCTCCCAATGTCCCCACCAAAATTCAGAGGCAACCTGTCAAATAATGGTGTCCATCATAATCTTCTGATTTTCAGAGGAAAATTAATAAAAATATTTATGCTAGATTTAAGATGGGGGACAATCCAAATGGGTAAAATAAGATCAAGAAACCTGGCCCACCACTCCAAAGATGTCATTTCACCACTGCCTGGGTACCGAAGTGTAATTTATGGTTACACAAATGTCTGTTCCTAACATATGAAGAAAAATGCAGATACTTTCTCTCCCAGTAGGAAAAGCACCCCATCCTTCTATAAGTAGAAAGAGACATGGAATATACTTTAAAATCATAAGCAGCCCCTCCCTGACATCATTTCAATATTCAAACTTGCAGCCTCCTGAGGATACTTATGGTCCAAACATAAACCTTGAAGGACTGTTGGTTCATATGGAGTGTGGGCTTCAGCTCTGTGTATATATTAGAATATAGAGCAGACTGGAATATGTTGCATCTTACAAAACTGTTTTCATAGTTGGAAAGGGTAATGTATTAACAGGCATGATTATTATGTTTGCATATCCTACCCTGTAGCCAGTTTTTAGTATGGTGTGCTTTTTTGTTTGGTTTAGTTTGGATTTTATAAAATAACTCAACCTGGTAGTTGTTTACAAAATGGCATTGTTTTCTAATACATCTCAAACAAATAAGACATCACTTAAATTAAACCGTACTAGTTTATGTGGGATCTGAATACAATTGTACTCCTTAAGGCCACGCCATGCTCTCAATTTCTATCAGAAGAATTCATATCTAGGCACATCCATTAATAATTAATAGCAGATTTCTCCTCAAATTTATGCAGAAATATATACTTACTTGGGAATAAGCTCCAATAAACACAATTCAGTAGCTTCTTCCAGAAACAGACTGGATTAAATCCATTTTAGCACTCTGAGCTATGTTCTGAGGGTGTAATAATAAAAAACACTGAGCTTGAGTTGGGCAAGATTCTGGAGAACCCGATTAGCTTTAAGTGCTTGGTTGGCATATGCAGTTTTATAGATGCCAGCCAGGTTCAGATGAAAAGTGGCAGGAGACCATCTGTAAGCACTTTGCATTTATTCAGAGAATGCACTAAACTTACAAGAACTGGGGAAGCTGCCTTATACCATATCAGCTACTTGTTTACATAGCCCAGTATTATCTACTTTAGAGTCAGCCAATTTTTCTGGCGTCGAGCGCCATTGGCAAAATCTTTAGCAATCTCATATGATATTGGTACAATTTCACAGGAGTCTCATGAAGTTTTCAGCAGTTTTTAAAAACTGCTTTAATTTGAACAAAAGGTACCTCTTGAGGGTCTAAAGGGTGCCATGGTCCCCATAGGCACCATGTTGCTGATGCTTGATGTGCTATCAGTAGCAATTTTCCATGGTCAGAAGCTTTTCACAATAGTTGCTAATCTTCCTTTCAGTTGGCAGTGTCAGAGATTTAACCAAGGTCCGTCTGCATGCAAAGTGTGAGCTATGACTCAGTTTTCGCAGGTGTGCTGGTTTCCTCTTACATGCCTTCCATTCTATCCTTTTTTGTATATCGTAAACATTCAGAAAATAGCGGGGTAATGTAGAAAGGGCTTAAGTTGAGAGCACTGCATCTAATGTTTCAACTATTACCTTTTCATACCTTTCAGCTATCTTCCTGGAAATAAATTCATATAGCATTCCCTAGATTAAAAAATAACAGTACTATCAATTACTTATTTCCCACTTTATTGTATTAATTCTTTATTACCCCTGGTGGGGTCTTTACCTAATATTTAAGATGCCTCCTCTAAGTCATTCCCTTTTCCCCCCAGAAAACTAACCAGATTTGTTTTTCCAAACTGTCTTTCTCACAATAGTGTCAGTATTAGAATCTGAAAAGGAGTTAGTCACAAACAAATGCCAATGAACTGTTAAGAGTATATATTCAGGATCTGAAGTACGTATTTGACCATAAGGCATGGAGAATCCACATTCTTCAACCTGATAACTTCCAGATGTCTTGGATGTCAACTCTCATCATCCCCATCCAGTTTGGATAATTGCTATGGTTTTATAAATATTTTCAGTGGTTAAAAAAAAACACTTCATTGGACTTTAATTTTATAAGACATTGATCACTTTTGATTTTATTCTGAAAAACATTGATGTGTGATCAGAAGTACTAAAACATAGTTACTTCTAAAGATAGGAGTTTTGAAATATAAAGGCTTATCATCACATCATGCTGAAATAATAAATTTAATTGGGTTTCTGTTGGATGTCATTCAGAAGGAACAGTTGCAAGGGATGTACTTATAATTCAGTATTTTTGCCGGTCTTTAAAGAGTAGTGTGCAACCCCTGTGATGTTTCCACTTTTGGGGCAGAGGTTCATATGACTGGGTGCACTCCCTGGTGAATAATCTGCCCTAGTTGTATGTGGCAGCCATCCCTAACCTGGCATTTGGGGAGATGAAATCCAATATAGCTGAAAGGCACCAGATTGAAGAAGGCTGCCCTAAATCTTACAAAGTGCCCACCTCAGAGGCAAATTCCTGTACTAACAAAAATAAGTTAGATAGAGTTATTTTGGCACTTACTGTTCCCATGCTTGGAGTGCTTTGTTTTTCTTAAAAAAATGGAATCAAACTTGCTAAAGCTGATTATGTATTAAAGCTAAAACTTATCTGGAGCTCTGTGAAAGGTATATTCTAACTCAGCCTTTCTCAAGCTGGTGTTCTGCAGATGTGTCTGATTTCAGTGTCCAGCATGCTGGCTGGAAATTCTGGGCATCAAAGTCAACAACATTTGGAGAGCATCAGCTGTTCTGTATTTATGCAAATCAATTAGACATTGAAGTTTCTTTTGATCCTGAAAAAAGCCTGTTCCTTTTACAACAATTTGTTTGATTTTTCTGTCTGACAATATTACCATCTTGTAAAACAGATCATAAAGTACCTGGCTTAATAATAAATAGTGATTGCTTTATTGAAATGAATTTGGTTTCAGTTGAGCTGAACTGATTTAAAAAAAATAAATAACCTGCTGGGCTGACAAGATCCACAGCTGAGATTATAAACATACTTATTTGTAAAAAGAAAAATTAAGACTTATTTCAAATGGCTGTGTGTTTGGGGTTAAAAAACTTCTGACACTGCTGTTGAAATAACATTTTTCCTATATCATAATTCAGTGGGGCAAATGGTTCTTATTTATTCCTACATATTAAGATTTTTTATAAAAAGGCCAAGCTGATTCCCACAGATGTCACATAATTATAAATAAAATATTCATTACTGTCCCCAGAAGATATTTGTTACTCATTGCTTAAAAAAAAACACCTCCAACCTTTGTTTCTAACATTCTTCTGTGCCTAACAACTTTTTTCTTGATTTCCCTTGGCCAATACTATCCACTAATTATTTTGTTCTGCTTGTCATAAAAAGGTTGTCATGAGACTTAATTGTATTTATGTATGTAAATAAGTTTTAAAGGCTTCATAGAACATATTGGTAATGCTTGTAAGTATTTGACATTTTCCTCATTTACAACACCTTTTCTGAATTCACTTTTGTTAAATACTGTAGAGAACTTTCTTCCAACTTAATTATTTTAGGTTTTGAGATAAACTGTTTTAGTTACTTTGTAAACAGTTAAAGCATGGTTTTATGTGGCACATTGAAAGGTCTTTGCTTTTTTGTTGTAGGAGAATGTGCAAGCAACTGTGGGTTATTTGTGGTATTTGAAAAGTAGCAGACCCAAGTTACGAAAGTGAAATGTTTCAGGAGATGTGAAGTGGTAAATTTGATGACTGAACAACGTAAATAGCAAACTGGGCTGCTTTTGAAAGCTATGTTAGAACATGTGAGTCCAACTTTTCCTGGGTGTATTTATGATCAGCTTGTACTGTGTACGGGAATTGCCACACCTTTTCCTGATATGGCTGTTATGGGTCACTTTTAGAAAGGCTCCCCCGAACAATAGCATTTTCTTCCATAGGAGGAGAACAGGTATCCATTTTAACCCACTCTAGAAATCATATCTGAGCAGGCCCTTCTGCATAAGAAGGTCAGTGTGTCCA